CTCCGTGTCCAGTAACTCAAGGGCAGAAAACTGAAGTCCATACACTTCATTTTTCTATGATCTCTTACGCAAATGGGAATTCTCTAGTAACCTTTACAGAAATTGGTCATCATATTTTACTTATGTCTCATACTCAAATGCATATAACTGAAGTTTTAAATTCAATCTGCCTTTTAGTATTTATGGGGATTTTACACACTCTCTCTCTCTCTCTCCCCCTCTCTCTCTCTCTCTCCCCCCATAAATACTAAAGGGTGAATTGACTTTAAAACTGAAAAAGAGAAAACAAATAGAATTGGAGTTGACCTTGATTTTGGTTGTTCAGGCCAAGGGAGATTTATATAAAATGATTTACATAAAAATCTCTCTCAGCCTGAACAACCAAAATCAAAGTCAACTCCAATTCTGTTTGCTTTCTCTTTCCACTTATCTGTACTTCGTGCTTGGGCTACAAATAGAATAGGAAACTGCTTAATTACTTAAATGCTACTATTCCCAATATAAATATGTAAATGTTGTAGCATTGTTGTTACTGGTGTTAGAGTTAAAAAAACCCAAACAAACAAAAACAAAAAAAAAACAAAAAACCTTTTACAACACCTAATTACTTGGCTCAAATAAAAATTCCTTGTCCCCACATATAGTAACAGTAATTAATAGGTCCAGATACACAGACAGAAGGTATTTGGCAAGTCAAGCTGGAGACTCAAAGAGGAAAAAGAGAACTGGGAAAGTACTCCAGGGGGCAAGTGGTAGAGAAGAGGTTCCTGCAAGAGCACTGGTGCTATGAGGAAACAGAGGGAAGAGAGCTGTTAGGACACCAGCTTCAGTGGGAGTTGCATCCCTTTGCACACAATCTGTATTTGGTTCACTATCCACAGAATAAGCTTTACCAACTGCCAGAAGGGCTTTACAAGAACAATGGCAAATGGCATGCTTTACACCTGCCAGATCCTGGATCTACACATAGGCAAAAGGGGGTATGGGAGCAGCAACCTGTGCTGCAGAAGTGGTTGCGTCCTGGCTCCCAGCCTCCTCCTTCTCAAACTACCACTGTGGACAGATTGTGCTACAGGAGCCAAAGCAAATGAGAATCCCCCTCCATGCTCAAAGGCACATCCCTTCTTTCCCAACTCCCCTGCTTGCTGCCATTTTCCCTGCTGTCCCAGGTTTGGGGAGCAGGCAGGAGCACTTTGAAGCTTCCCTTGCCCCTGGACAGCAGAAAGAGCAGCATCAACAGGCAGAGGAGTGGGGGAATGGAAGGGGAGGTGCCTTCGAACATGGAGGGGAAGAGGGAGTGGGTTACTTTTTATCTGCTTTGGGGATTTCTTTAAAGTCTCCAGAAGCTCCTGCAGCACAGTCCTGGGGCAGGCCTGCAGTTCTCAACCTTTTTAGACTCAGGGTTCCCTTTGAAAAATGTCAGCTCTTAGTTTTCACCCATTTTTTCCAACTGTAGAAAAATGATAAGAGCAATTCTTCTGTTGCAAAGACCCCTGAAAGATTTCAACAGTACAGAATGTTGACACTAGGTATTCCCTGCTGACACCTGCGTTTATCTTGTGAGAACCCAAGTTAGTCTGAAGTCTAGGAGGAGGCAGGGGAGAGATGTGCCTTCTACAAACTAAATCAGAGATATGTGAGCTTTGGTAAGCCTGGGCTCACTGGGTCAGATGCTGTGGAATAAGCTTAGGCTCACAAAAGTTCATGTCTCCAATCTAGTTGATGTACATGAGGTACATTACAGAAGTGCATGCCTCTAATTCAGCCAGCCCTGAAATACTCAACCAGAGTGTGCTACAGCAATCTGGGGTGCCCTGAGCTCCTTTCAAGGGTGCCACACTATGTGGCACTAATGCAGTGAGGTCTGCAAACATGACTCATGAGATAAACCCCACACCTCAAGCAGGATAGAAAAGAACTAGAGAAGGTCCAGAAAAGGGCAACAAGAATGATTACTAGTATGGAAGGGGCTCCATAGGAAGAGCCTAAAGAGCTAGGCCTATTCAGTTTAAAAGAGAGCTGCTGGTGGGGGAGGGCATAGTAAGAGTGTATAAAATACTAAATGATGAAAAGAAAGTAAATAGGGATTTATTGTTTACATCCTCTTCCAGTACAAGAACTAGGGGCCACAAAATGAAACTAGCAGGTAGTTAAGTTTAAAGACTAATAAAAGTTCTTTTACGTGGTATGTAATTGAAGGGTCTTGTCTCTCTGCTCAGGGTCAGAACGATCACCATATTTGGGTTCAGGAAGGACCCAAGGGATGACGAGGTAGAACGGTTATAAACTACTGCAAGACTGTTTCAGGCTGGACATAAGGAAGAACTTCTTTACTGTCCGAGCCCCCAAGGTCTGGAACAGCCTGCCACTGGAGGTGGTTTAAGCACCTACACTGAACACCTTCAAGAGCAAATTGGATGCTTATCTTGCTGGGATCCTATGACCCCAGCTAACTTCCTGCCCCTCAGGCAGGGGGCTGGACTCAATGATCTTCTGAGGTCCCTTCCAGCCCTAATGTCTATGAAATCTATGAATTTTACCCCATGGTCAGATTGGTATAGACCATATGGGTTTCTGCCTTCCTCTGTATTTGGGGGCATGGCCATTTACCTGGAATTTCTTGCACATACATCTACAATATTTCAGAGAAGAAGGATGCTGTTGCCGTGGTTCCCCTTGCTTTACCTGTGGCAGGTTAGCATGTTAGGTCTGTGTTGTGTCAGGGTTGACAGCTGTCTCACTTAGAGCTTAGATGATGGTTTGTCTGGAATGGTTTGGATAGGGACAACCTTATCTCATACAAGGAGGTTGGACTAGATGTCCTCTGGAGGTCCCTTCCAGCACCACTTCTCTGTGATTCTAAAGTGTGGAACTCATTGCCAGACATGCAGAAGCTGACAGCTTAGCCAGATTCACAAAGGGATTGAATCATAGAAAATTAGGGCTGGATGGAACTTCAGGAGGTCATCTAGTCCAATCCCCTGCTCAAAGCAGGGCCATACCCAGCTAGATCATCCCAGCCAAGGCTCTGTCTAAAGGAGGAGATTCTACAGCCTCCCTGTGTAGCCTGTTCCAGCACTTTACTACCCTCCTAGTGGGAAGGCCTGTACCCCAGCTCCCTAACCATTTTTGTTGCCCTCCACTGGACTCTCTTCAATTTGTCCACATCCTTTTTTGCATGAACATAGTACTCTAGATGTAGCATCACCAGTGCCAAATAGAGGGGAATAATCACTTCCCTTGATCTGCTAGCAACACACCTACTCATGCAGCACAGTATGCTGTTAGCCACCTTTCCAGCATTCTTGGAGAAAAAGAGGCAGCAGTCACTATTGAGCAGGGGAGTTAGGAGCACAGTCTCCAAATCAGAACATCCTAGACCTCAAATGCTGGAGGCTACAAGTAATAGTTTTGGGGGGGGGGGGACGACATAACACGACACCTGGTCAGAGCCTGTGCACTCTCCCTTCCAGCGTCCGCTCTGTCTCCATGTAACACAGGCCTATTTGATGTACGACGTTAACATGGTTTTGACACCCACAATGCAACAATTACCCTCCTTTCCCCCCCCCCATTATTAGTGGGGCAACTGGGTATATGTCAATTGATTTTGGGGGACAATTAAAGAGGTATAGGATTGAAGTCACAGGTTCAAAACAAGTACTCCAAGGGGGCCACCGAGCACAGTATACCGGACAGTGCCCACAGATCCTCGAATGAACCCAAGGAACTAACAGATACTGCCCAGTGAAATTCTGCCTGGATAGGTGAACAGATGAAGGACAGGAAAGGGGCCTTGCAATCCCCAGTAGTAAAGCCTCCTTCCTGGTCAGCCAGACTATTAGCTTGGCTAGGGCCAGAAGGCTGATCAGGAGATCCTGGGACTTGGTGGGGGCCTGTATGTGGAGTGCATAACAAGAGAGGTGTGGGGAGCAGTGCAGCCAGAACCTCAGCAGAAGATTCTGGAGGAGATGGAAGAGGTGCTGCAACCTGGTGCACTCAAAGCAAGTGAGAGCCAGGATCTCCCTCTGTTGGCAAAAGGGGCAGGAGTTGAGGGGAGTCTGCGAAACATGCCAGATACAAGGCCATGGCAACAGCTCCATGGAAGAGTCGCCACTTCTGCGTGATGCAGGCTTGTTTGACACATATTGGCAATGTGGGCGTTCTTCATGCAGAGCATGAACAGTCAGCCTCCCTGCTGTTAACAGGAAGGAACACTGAGTATGTGCCAACTGAATCTGTGGGCGAACTAAACAACAAAACAGGGATGGGAGCAACGAGAGCTTTTAAAAGTTGTCCACAGGGCAAGTAGTTTTTGCAGAACCACAGGTCTGTTTCACTGGTCGGTATCCACAGGTTCCCTCTGCTCGCTCAGGGGGCAGTGGATGCTGGCCAGTGCACTCTGCTTGGCAACCTCTTCCACAACCCTTACTACCAACCTACCACCTTGCTCCCCAGGTGATGACACAGGAGACCAAGCAAGAGGCACCTATGATCTGACTCCAGCCATGGCAGCTCTGGACCTTCCTATGCCCGGAGCTCTCCCAGAGGAGCCTGCAGCAGGGCGCTCTCCTACTTCTGGGCACCAGGAAAAGAAAATAACAAACAAACAAAAAAAAGGCAAAATCCCCCAGCCAATTACTCCTTTACTTTCCTGTAAGCGATCTACCAGTTTTCTGTAGGCAATCTATCCATCAATCTATCCAACCCCAATTGTCTTTCCTACCTACTGCAGAGGGGCTGGACCGATGATCTTGCAAGGTCCCTTCCAATGTATCAAAACCCCCAAAAAACAAACCCCAAACCCTAAAAATCCAGGAAATCCCCCCAAAGCCCCCCCAAAATGCCCCAATCTCTCCAAACCCAGCCACCCCCCCAAAAAACCCCAACTCCTCCAATCCCCCTCTCCAAACCCGAGCTGGGGGCCCCTAACCCCCTGCTGAGCCCCGCAGCTGCACGCGCTGCCCGTGCTGGCCGGGGGGGAGGGAAGAGGCACTCACTGGGCATCGCAGGCGGTCCCGCGCGGCGCGAGGCGGGCCGGGACGGGCGCGTGTC